TACTTATGCTGCCATCTTGGTTTCTCCCCTCCCAATTTCTTTTCTTTTTTATTTATTTATTGACTTTAGAGAGAGAGAGAGAAACATAAATTTGTTGCTCCACTTATTTATGCATTCATTGGTTGATGCTTGTATGTGCCCTGACCAGGGATTGAACCCATAACCTTAACATATGGGGAAAATGCTCTAACCAACTGAACTACCTTGCCAGGGCCACAGCTCCCAGTTTCTGCCCTGAGCCCCCTCTTCCTTCTTTCCCCTAGATTTTCCATGATGGCTTCTCCCTGGTGTGGCATTCTAAATCCTTTTCCTGCCCAAAGCCGTGTTTGGATATCCATGGCCCCAGGGAAGGGAACCTGAGCCCCCTTTCTCCTAGAGATTCCTTTCTTGGTCTTCCCTCACCACCTCAACCAACTTCTCCTCCCTGTCACAGGCAGGCCGCTGAAACTCTAGACGGCTGGGGGAGGGGAGGCAGATTCTCAGGCCTCACTGACTGCCCGAGATCCCAGGGCCCCTCCGGGTGGGGGGCTGGGCAGGCGGAGGTGTCTGGACTCTGCTTCCTGGCGGTGGGACCTTGGGTTTCAGTTACCTTGTCCGCAGGGGAGACAGTGACACCTGCCCTGCCCAGCTCAAGGTTGTGAAGCTTCAGCTAAATGCTGGTGGCAGGGATTTGGAAACCGCCAGGCACTGTCCAGATGCCAGCTCCTAAGCTCCGTGTGTCAGCCTGTGCCTGCCTCCCACATTCCGCCTGGACTGAAGTGACTTTCCCCAGCGTTCCTGCCGGGTGCTGGAAGCCGGGCTCAGAGACAGCTGACACCTGTGCTTCCAGGAGGCTGCGACCTGGTTGGCATCATCAGAGAAAGCGGGGGCTGGCCCTAGCCGGTTTGACCCCGTGGATAGAGTGACGGCCTGCAGACCGAAAGGTCCCAGGTTTAGTTACAGTCAGGGGCATGTACCTTGGTTGCAGGCTCCTCCCTGGCCCAACCCTGGCCCCGGTCAGGGAACGTGCAGGAAGCAACCAACTGATGGGTTTCATCGATGTTTCTCTCTGTCTTTCCCTCTTTTTTCTATTCTCTAAAAATCAATAGAAAAACATCGAGTGAGGATTTAAAAAAAAAATAAATAAGGTAGAGAAAGTGGGCTGGATCTGTTAGGGTGGGGCCTTCATTTCCCACATCCCTGGGAGGTGGGCAAGCCAGTGACGAGTCAGACCCCAGTGCCAGCAGCCAGTGTGGACGCCAGCGCCTGTGTCTCCGGGTGCGTGTGACTCGGGTGGGTTTCTACAGTATCTCAGTCCCGCTGATCCCCGGGTGGCTCCCTGGAGGAGGGCTTCCCGGTGGAGGTGTGGGCGTGGGCTGCGGACAGGGGCAGGAGTGGAGTGGCAGTGCGGTGCCCTGATCTGGCAGTGACATGCCCAGGCCACCCAGAGAGGGCAGCTAGGACCCATGCCGAGGGTCTGCCATTATCCCCTCCCCACGCCTGCCTGGGTGCCTGCAGGTGTTTAGTGGTATCCACACACCCTAAGCTGGGTCAGGGCAAAGTACACACATGACCTTGTGTAGGTCACCGTCGCCTCGCCACCTCCCATCGCAGGGCGGCCATGCCCACGAGGGAAGGAAGGAGAGGATGAATGAGTGAAGGGTCTGGAGGAGTCCCGGCCCTGATGACCTGAGGGCTTCTCCTCCTCCTGCCCCCAACACAACTCGACATTCTGCCCCCCGGGAATGGCGAGGTCCCGAGGCGCGCAGGGTCGTTTCACTCTGCGGAGTGTGTGCGGGTCGCTGTGCTCGGACCCCCTCCAGGGCCGTAGCTTCCCCAGGCAGAGAGGCCTCCTCGGGGCTCCGGCCCTGGGGCCACCTCCACTCAGTCTGACAGGCAGCCGTTGTCTCTCCAGCGTCCAGCACGGTCCCCGGCACACAGCAGGCTCTTCGAAACGGGAAGGAAGAGGGAGACCTCGGGAGGGACCACAAGGCCTAGGTCTGATCTGGTCTCAGCAGGAGGCCCTGGGGGAGGAAGGCCTGGAGTGAGAGGGGCCGGAGCGGAGTGAAGGGCCTGGGACAGGGCTGGCACAGGAATGAGATGGCGAGCCCACGTCACTTTCCCGGTAAATCCTGTAATTTCATGCTCCAGGGGGCCACAGAGTAAGAGAGTCAGTTGGGAGTAAATCGAACGCCCTGGCCACTCCCCCTACCAGGAGACCATGTGAGTCTCCCCCCAACTTTCCCTGGAATCCCCACAGTCCCCTGGACCAGGGTGCCCGGGCGCTCCTCTGAGCCGTCCTCTTCCCCACCTTGTCCCTGGACCCCTCGACCCCCCACGTTTGGAGGACAAAGAGCATTTGTCCAGCCTATGTCCTTAGAGCTGGAGGGGTCTCACAGCAAGGCTGGCAGGGGCAGGGGCTCCTTCCTGATGATCCTCGGCCTCTTCCTTTCCCCCCGACCCTGCACGCACCCCCTTTGCACGGCCTCATGGAGCCTGTGCCTCGGGAAGGCCAGACTTCTACGTCTAAGAAGTGACTTTTTTTTTTTAATATATATTTTATTGATTTCTTTTTACATAGAGGAAGAGAGAGGGATAGAGAGTTAGAAACATCAATGAGATAGAGTCATTGATCAGCTGCCTCTTGCACACCCCCTACTGGGGATGTGCCCGCAACCAAGGTACATGCCCTTGACCGGAATCGAACCCGGGACCTTTCAGTCCGCAGGCCAATGCTCTATCCACTGAGCCAAACTGGTTTCAGCAGAAGTGACTCTTGACGAGAAGAAACCCCAAGCCACAAGCCCTGGTGTGAGGTCCGGGGAAGAGACAGGTGCGGGCGGCTGGGTCTGGGGGGCTGTTGAGGAGCCCGCCTGTGAACCCCAGGTTTGCTGGGGAATACGTTCCCATAGGGACACCAGTGTGTTTAAATGCCATCCTAAGGTAAACGGGGTTCAGCCTCGGGGGAGGCTCCGCGCTGGCTGCTGCTGGCTGCGGGAGGGAAGGGCTGCGAGGGGGTGTCCATGTGCTTGGTCACAGCGTCTGTGAGGGAAGTGTTTGCGGAGGGACCAGTGTGTACGCATGTGTCCCTGTTCCTGTCCTCTCCGACCCCCCCCCACCCCGGATCTTATCTGCTGGTGCTGGTGCTGGTGCTGGTGCTGGGGTAGGAGAGTGAGGGCAGACCTGTGTGTGTGTGTGTGTGTGTGGACAGGGAGCCACAGGTGGGCACCAGTTGGTGAAGAGGCTCGACGGGCAGGAGACGGTGTGGGAGAGGCTGAAGGAGGGAGGGAGGGAACGGAGAGTTTCAGGAGAAGGGACGGGGCAGATGCTTGGCAAATGCCAACAAAGGAAAGCAGTCCTTTAATTCCCCCTCGCACTTCTGAGCTGGGCAGCGTCCCAGTTTTGCAGAGCAGGAGACTGAAACGCAGAAATGGAACAACTTGTCCAAGGTCACACCGCTGCTCATCACACTGGGATTCTAACCCAGGTCTGCCTGATGCCGGAGGCTCCCCCATCCTCCCCGCCAGGGGCCTGGACACAGCGGCTCTGGCTCCCCAGCAGGCCTCTGGGAAACCGGAGCAGACAGCCTTTGTGTTCCTGGAGTGTGAATTGGGGCAGGTCCCCACATCCCTCGCCTCTGAGACCCCACTGACCCGAGTGGGGGGAGAGGTGCAGGGCCTCATGAAGAACTTCTCCCTGACCCCTTGCTGCGCCTCCCGACTTCTCAGAGCCCATGTGCCCACGTCCCAGGCCCACCGCTGGCCGAGCTGCTCCTCCTGTAAGTGCCACGCACTTCCCACGCCCGTGACTGCTGGCTCAGAGTCCACAGCCACCATGGCCTCCAGGAGCTGACTGCAGTCCGGGTAGCTCACCGGCACCTCACACCCCACGGCATTCCCTCAGTGCCACGGGGCCCTGCACCCAGACCCCCTGGACTCAGAGAGCCACCAAGTGCACACCCTGAGCCTCTGGGGGTTCTGACCCAAGTGAATGCTACCCCAGGGCCCATGGGTCCAGCACACAGGAAGGCGGTTGGCCTCTTGGCCCCCAGTCCTGACGGACACCTCCTAGCTGTGTGAACTCGGGCAGGTCACTTAACCTCCTGGAGACCGTCGCCTCATCTGCAAAATAGGGCCGGTCATCCCTACCTCACAGCCTCGCAGGAGAGCGTGAGGTGCAGGCTGGCCTGTGGAGGCGAGCAGAGTGCGCCGGCCCAGAACACGCCACTGTGGCAGATGGGTTATGTAGGCTGGTTCGTTTTAAGAAACAGCAGCCCCGGGAGAAGCTCTGAAAACCAAGTCCCGAGTGTAGGGACATGTGTGCCTGAGGGAGACCTCCCTCTGGGAGGTTGCTTCCCCGTTGCACCAGGCCTGCCCTCGCTGTCCGGGGAGAAGGCCTGGGCTTCAGTCTGCGCAGCCACAGCCACCTCACCTGTTCCCCGTGCTTCTCCTGGGAACCTCCTAACGGACTCCACCCCCAACACCGCCTTGTGTCCGTAGCTGAAGGAGATGTTGAAGGTGACGGGGTGTTTCTGGGTCTCTCCCCTGTATACAGGAAGCATACGTGCTATTAAACTGCAATGTTTTCCCCCCGCTAATCCGCCTGGTGTTACTTTGGTTATTAGTCCAGCCACAAGAACCTGAAGGGAATAGTCTTACCTCCCAGACACCTGTGAAGCGCCTGGCGCATAGTAGGTGCTTAACAGATAGTTCCTATGACGCAGGCCCTGACTCTGCCCCCTTTGTGTGAGCACGAGGGCAGCAAACCTCGCCAGCTTCCAGAGTGAGTCCCTGCAGGCTCTGACCCCACCGTGACTCCTGTCCGTATACTTACCCTCCAAGCCCAAGTGGACCCCTCGTTCCCCCTCTTTCACCCCCAAGACCCTGACCTTACCCTGACCTCCTCCCCTTTCCTGCCCCACACTCTCCCTGAATCCTGGGCCCCACGGACCGCACAGCCCTGCCGCCCACAGGCCCTGCACCACAGCGCAGCTCAGGCACGCTCGCCGCCCTGTCTTGCAGGCTCTCCAGGTCGCCCGGCAGTTCCTGCTGCAGCAAGCCTCGGGCCTGAGCTCCCCTGGGAACAATGACAGCAAGCAGTCCGCCTCCGCGGTGCAGGTGAGGAGGGCGTCCCTCTGGGCCGGCAGGCCGGGCCGGGCTGGGGCCAGGTCAGAGGGTGGGCTTGGCAAACAAGGCCGGTGAGTGGCAGCTGCCGGAGGAGTGAAGAAACTTGCACTTTTTGTCTCACCTCCACCTGATCCCAGGCCCGCCTCTGCTGGGCCTGTGTCTGTGCTCAGATCTGCCTCTATCCCCTGCGAGGCTTCCTCTTCCCTGGCCTCGGGGTCACTGCTCCAGTTTCTCTTTTCTCTGTGTGGCCACCCGACCTGTCCCTTGTGACTCCCCCCTTCCCAGGCTCTCCGTTGCTGAGGTCACCACGTCTCCCCCCTAATCTCTCACCCACCAGTTCTCTCTCGGTCGCCCCCGAGTTTCCTGTCTCTTGATGACTCTCTGTCTCTTTTGTTTTCCTTTGCACAATCTGCCCTTTTTCCCTCTCTCCCTTCCCCCAATGCTGGCCCATCTGGCTGGGTGGGGGAGGGGAGGTCTGGTGGGGGTGGGCGGGGGGTTAGCCTGGCCTTCTGTTTACCTTTTGTGTCTCAAAGAACTTGGGAGAATCGCCAGTCCGATTCCATCCCGGGGTGGGTCACTGCTCGGGCAGCCCCGTGTCCACCCCCCCACCTCTACCCCCTCCCAACCCCTACCCCCCTCTCAGCAACCAAGCTTTTTTGCTCCCCCACTCCTCCCCACAGCAGCGGGGGAGGCTTGGAATTGGGGAGAGGATTAAGCGGGACTTTGAAAGGAAGTTTATCTAAGGGAGGAAGGCTGAACTCCATCCGAAGCACGCAGCTCTGGAGTCTGGGGGGTGGGGTGCTGAGGGAAGGAGGGAAGCGAGGGGGGCAGGATGGAGGATGGGGTGCGGGGAGAAGGACCCAGGACTAGGTTTTATGTAAAACAAGTTCATGATCAGAACGTGCTTTGAAGAAGTCCAGTGTGCCCGACAGTTGTGGGGCCTTCGCTGGGCCCTGTTTTAAAAGGCTGGAACCTGATGAGACTGCCCTCAAGGGGAGGAGTTGGGCACAGAGGGGTTCTGGCCTGGGTTGCTGGGGACACCCCCTGGAAAGCCAGGATTGGGGAGAGAAGCTCTCGGGCCTGGGTGGTGTCAGGGCTAGGGACCCCCCTCTCCAACTCCAGGGTCTGAGGTGGTGGTTCTCAGTCCTCCCCACCCTGGGCCGGCTAGCATCCCTTCTGAGAACAAAGAAAGGTAGGCTGGAGAAAAGGAATGTCCCCCAGCCCGGAAGGAAGGGCCGGCTGAGGAAGGAGGAGCTTCCTGGGAGTGGGCGGGACTGAGGTCAGGCCCAGGGAGGACTCCGTGGTGTGGGGAGCAGGGGAGCTGAAATAGTGAGAAAGGGGGCTTGTGGGGGTTTTTTGGGGAGACCCCTTCCCTAAAATGAGAGCGGTCCAAGGATGCCGTAGAATGAGCAGCAGAGGGACAGGGAAAATGAATCTTGGGCCTCCTCTCTTGCCTTCTTCCTCCCGGTGATGGATCAATTCATTCCTTCAGCAAGTACGGAGTACTTCCCACACCAGCAACTGATACTTAGAGAGGCTTACCCTGGGGCAGACCCCACGTGCTTTATAAGTAGCGTCTCACTGATCCTCACACTCCCATGAGGTCCATGTTGCATTAGTCTCATCTTGCCAATGAGGAAGCCGGGGCCCAGAGATGTTAAGTAACTTATCCAAAGTCACACAGCTAATCATGGGCAGAGCCAGGGCTTGAACCCAAACAGCTCCAGAACTCACACTTCACTGTCTACACGGTGGCCCTGTCCTGTGCTCAGCACAGCGGTCACACGAACCGCCCCCAGGGACACAGCCCTGGCCCGAGGATTCTCCGGGCTCAGGACGGCGGCAGTTCTTGGGCTGTGTCTGAACTTCCCCAGAAGCCTCAAGCCCTGGCTGTTGATCCTCCTTCTCCAACCCTGATGCCCTCCTGGCCTTTCAAGTTTACAATCTCTAAGGAGGTGGGGCTTCTGTTCCCCGTGGGGGTCCAGGGTCCAGAAATAGCTTTTCTGCGGGGGTTTAGGGGAGAGTGAGTAGAAACATGCATTTTGCTGATTTGGAGCTCGACTGAAATGAAGGGAAATGAATAAGGTCCATGGCAGCCCCTTTCCCGGCTCCCCCCAACACTGTCCTGCTCCCCAACTCAAGGTGGGGTTCCTGCTCACCTCCCCTCCCAGCCACACCCACCAGCCCCTCCCAGGCCAGCTTCAGACCAGTTTCCAAAACCATCTTAGTTCTCCAGCTCCAGCATGTGCCCAGGCCTGGACACCAGGCACGGCGAGGCCAGGCAGGGGGACGGAGAGGGGCGCATCACAGGTAGCTGGGAGTTTGGGCAGACGGGGGCCAAGGCCGGTCCCTAGCTCTGCCAGCCTGTCTCATCTTCTCAGCCCCTGAGACTCGCCCTCCTGCCATTTCTACAAGTTCCCCTGTCCCACCCTGATATTTTGTTGTTGTAATTCAGCCCAGAGCTAATCTGAGGGCTTCCTTCTGGTCATACACAGGGGAATTTAACCTAGCCCGTGGTTGGCAAACTGCGGCTTGCGAACCAACTGGCGGCTCTTTGGCCCCTTGAGTGTGGCTCTTCCACAAAATACCGCGGCCTGGGCGAGTCTGTTTTACAGAAGTGGTATTAGAAGTTTAAGTTTAAAAAATTTGACTCTCCAAATAAATTTTAGTCGTACTGTTGATATTTGGCTCTGTTGACTGATGAGTTTGCCAACCACTGACCTAGACTAAGCTCTGGCCTAGTCTCCGAAATCACCCAGGGACCCCAGTTCCCATACTTCAAAGGCTGAGTTTGGGTCCTTGATTGGTACCAAATTGCATCCATTCCAGCCCCCAGTGGTACTTCCCCGTGTCTCCACCCTGTGTCCAGCCCAGCACACTGTAATCATGGCGGCCGAGGGCTCTGGGGGGGGGGCTGGAGGCAGCTGTCAGCAGCCAGCTCAGCCGGAGTCCCCCTGCCAGGCTTTGGTGAGCATGCAGCCACCCTGGCCACTCTCCAGCTGTGACTCACGGCTTTGCTGAGCTGACTAGCCCACCATGGCCATCTGGACACATCCCCGCCTGGTGAGTGGTCCATGGGGACCCAGGAGAGCTCCAGCTCAGAGCCCCAAGGGGCGTGACAGGACGTGGATGGGTCAGCTAGTTCAGGAGGTCCGTATGTGGCGGCCGCCTTGCAGACCTTTCTTGGCCCTCTTGGGCCACCTTAGAGACAAGTACGCAGAGATAATCCATCCTGATCTCTCTCTGCAGACACCTCTCCAGCTGCAGCTCAGCCACGTGGCAGGACGGCAGGGGCTGGGGCTGCCTTCCAAGGTCTCTCTTCCCCTCCCCTGCCCCTGTGTAGGAAAGCCTTGAGGAGGGAAGGCCACATCCTTTCTTGCATGCTGCTCCGTGACTCACCCCTGGGGCCTGGAGAGACCGGGTGTCTGCTCTCAGCCTCCCCTGCCGTGGTGCAGCTCTCGCCGCGATGAGAATGGGAGGCTCACTGCTTTGGTCCTAAGTGACCCCGGCCACCCAGTGCCTCTGGGGGCCCCTTGAGTACCTCAAGTGCAACAGTGGAGAAGGGAGACGGAAAGGAAACCAGAAAAGGAAAATTCAGAATGTTTTCTTTAAGTAGTTGTTTCTGCAGTTGTATAGAGTTTAATGACATACAAACCCCTTCTCCCTGCCCCTTCCGCCCTAACTTCCCCAAACCCCGGCGTTCTCAGCTGTAAAATGGTAATGACGGTGATACCCTCCTCCCGGGCAGGCTGCTGTGAAGAGTCAGGGAGATCGCACTCGTTAAGGGCTTAGCCGAGTGCCTGGCCCCTAATCCACAGCCAGCCACGGCCTCCTGTGCAGTCTGGGGTGGCAGGGTGGGCAGGTGTTCCAAACCCCAGGGAGAGGATGGGGCAGGCGAGGCTTGGCGATCTCAAAGGTCAGTCAGTGTCAGAGACAAGACCCTGCCCAGGTCACCTGTCGCAGAGCCTGGGCCTCTGAGCCCAATACCGCCGGGTCCCGGGGGAGGAGGAGAGACAGGCCGGGTGGCTGCTGCGGGGTTACACGGGCTGGTCTGCAGGGGGTGGGCCTGGGCCACCACCTGCCCCTCCTCAGGTCCCTGAGAGTGAGGACCAGGACCCCCTGCAGCCTGGCGGTGGCGTCTCTTGTGGTACAGGGTGAAGGGGGAGGCGGGTCTCAGGGATCTCAGCCCCGTCCGCCTTCAGCTCCTGGACGCTCCGTGTCCACAGTCTCTGCAGTGCTGACCAGGGTGGGACAGGCAGTGTGGATGGGGAAGGCCCGGGAGCCATGGAGTACACAGACCTGGGCTTGCATCCCGTCCTGCCCCTAAGGCTCCTTATAGAGGCCCCTGGAGCTTGCCTTCCCACAGGAGGGCCCTAGTTAAAGAGCCAGGTGGTGCCTCTCTGGGGATGTCTGCAGAGATGGGGGTGGGGGGGGTGGGGGAGGAGCAGGGGGGAGCCCAGGGCTGGCCCGGCTCGGCCACTCCTCGAGCTGGGGGCAGTGGGACTTTCCCATGTTTGCACTACACCCCCTGGTTGCTTCCCTGCAGGGAATTCACTAATCGGTGGCTTAGGCCGAGTCCTACCCCTGCCCCAGGGATCCCAAAAGGAATCGACTCTTCCTCCCCTGACTCCGTCCCCATGGGACTAGAGGGAGGTGACGGGGGCCAAGACAGTCCCTGAAGGACTCTCTGTACCCCTCCTTTCCTGCTACAGGGCTGCAGAGGTGCCCCGGCTGCCAGGGAAGGTGTTTCAGCTCAGAGCAAACCCCAGGGAGGACCGCTGTGTGCCGCGCCCTCTGCTAGGGCCGGGGTGGGAGGTAGAGAAGAGTCTGTGCACTGTCAGGGGGGAGGGGGGATGGCAGGTTGCCGGGCGGGCACCTGCCCTGAGAAAGGCATGAAGGCGCTGCTACAACCTGGGCTTCCCTGGCCGTGACTCCACCAGCCTGGGGGGCTCCGGGCGGGCAGGGCTGGGAAGAGAATGTCGCTACTGCTTCTCCCTGCACCTTTCTCTGTAGCTGGGTCCTCTGGGCTTCCCGGAGGCCTAACCCAGGGCAGGGGACAGGAAGCTACTCCACTCTGAGAACCCGACACGTCCCGGTGGGAGGGAGCCACCTGTTACAATCCAGTCCCTGTCTGACGTTTGAGGAAATTGACCCGCCAGAGAGGGCCGGCGGCTTGCTGGGGGTCACACAGCAAGTTCAGCGCAGGGCTAGGAGGGGTGCCTGCCTCCTCACTGCTGCCTGGGCTCTTTCCACCTGCTGAAGACAAAACTGCTCCTACACACCCAGGGTGGCACCCTCGGGCCCCTGTGTGTGCCCTCTGCACACGTGTGCTGGAGGATGTGACGTGTGTGTGCCAGCACCCAGGGCTCCTGCCCCGCGGGCCACCTTTTGCATCCTCCCGGTGGCTGCCGCTGCCCTCCCGGCCAGGCCCACCTCACAGTGTCGCAGGAGAGAGAGCAGAGTCGGGCGTGGTGAGCTGGGCCTCCCACACGTGGCTTCTAACCCCCCCTGTCACAGTGTCACCTTCCTGCACCGGAGTGAGCGCACTTAACAGGCAGCCTGGGTCAGCACCTCTGGGTGCCAGGCTTTCCTCTGAGAGTTAACCCGTCAGTCCCGTGACAACCTCCAGGGGCAGGCACTGTTGGCGCCTCCGTCGCACAAACGAGGACATGGAGCCGGTCCCTTGTCCGAAGAGACCCAGCGAGTCGGTGGCAGAGGCAGAGTGTGGGCCCAGGCCATCTCCCTCCGGAGCCATTCGCCGTGCTGTGGGTGGGCCTTGGGTGCCTGCGCTCCCCGGAGCGGGGTGGAGGGGAGCAGGCTGACGGGGACCAATCCCGCAGGTGCCCGTGTCGGTGGCCATGATGTCGCCACAGATGCTCACCCCCCAGCAGATGCAGCAGATCCTGTCGCCCCCGCAGCTGCAGGCCTTGCTCCAGCAGCAGCAGGCGCTCATGCTCCAGCAGGTGAGTCTGGCCCCAGGGCAGCTGAGACGCAGCCACCGTGCCTCCCCCCCAGCTGTGTTTACTGCCAACATCACGGAGTGGCAGAAAACCAGAGAGACCGCCCAGGCCGGACCGATCTGCATTCCGCCGGGGCAGTGGGGGGAGGTCAGAGATCAGGCCTCTCAGCCAGCAGCGCCTTGGCCCACCTGCCCCCAGACCCCCCGGGAAGGGCCAACTGCTGGGACATCCTGGCTATTCGGGACCCACCCAGAGGCAGGGCGGACTGGGCAGTGCGGGATGAAGCTCCCCTCTCCCTTGTCCATTCACGGAGTCTCTCTTGGCACAAGTCTCCCTGCCAGGCTACGTGTCCCACGGCCCCAGGCAGGCTCCCCACTCCTGCCTGCAGGAGCTGTGCCACCCCTGGGCTGGGGTTGCTCTAAAGTCAGCAGCCAGCTGACCCGGCTAATGCACTCTGCCCTCCCCCCTCCCGCCCCCCCCCCCCCAGCTGCAGGAATATTACAAGAAGCAGCAAGAGCAGCTTCACCTGCAGCTCCTCACCCAACAGCAGGCTGGGAAGCAGCAACCCAAAGAGGTAAACCCCGCCTCTCCTGGCCAGAGGCTGGGAGTCCCCGGGTGGTCTGGGAGAAGTGCCCGGTGGGCACAGTGGAAAAGTCTGGAAAGGCCTGGGGGGGAGAGGGCAGGCGGCTCCCATTTCTCCATCGCCCTTTCTCCCCCTGGGTCCTCTCCTTGCCTGTGTTGTTGGTCAATCAGAGCAGGACGGCAGAGCCCTGGGTCATCTCTGCTCATGCATGTAGACACGTGTAAAGAGTGTCACATGGTCCACACGCATGACCAGTTGCCAGCTGTCATGCCCTCTTCCTGCCCACGTGTCTCTTCTTGACCCCGCACCTGAGTCCTCCTCTCTGGTCCTGAGACTCTTAGTCGCTCAGCAAACCACTTGCCCCTGCCCCCCAGCACCACCCCAACTTCTGTTCCTTCGTGTAACATCCGGCTCTGCTCTCTCTTTAGAGCTCTCCAGCCTACACCCCTGCCCCTCTGAGCCTCATTGCCTTCTGGGCTTCCATAGCGGGCCCTCTGCCCCGTCCTCCCTGTCCCAGGCATGTGCCTCACACCACACCCAGGTTCTGAGCTGCCTCTTCCCGGAAGGCTGCCCTCTGACTCCAGTCATTCCCCCAGGCGTCAGCTCCCCCTCAGGGGTCCTGTCATGGCTGCATTCTCTGCATTATCTCTGGGCTGGTTTATTGCCCTGCCAGCCCCCACCCCAGCCCCCACCCTGGGGCAGGCAGGCAGGCAGGCAGAGAGGCCCCTGCCTCCCCAGCACCCAGGATGGGCTTGCTGACAGCCTGGCTTGTCAGTGCCTGTGTGAAAACTGAATGGTTGGGGGGGATGCAAGCGAGAGCACATGCATGTGCCCCCAGCAGCGGGGATAGGACTGTGCCCTGAGCCTGGGTCCTACTGACCAGCTGATGCTGATCTTTCCAAGTCCCGCCAGACTGTGATTCGCTGTGTCTAAGAAGCGAGAGGAGGTGGGAGGTGGAGGGGAGAAGGCCCCTCCTCGTGATCAGAGGGGGGCACCCGGGCATGTGGGAAGGGTGCCTGCCAGGCAGGAGTGGCCCCTGGAGCCTGACAGGCTCATCGATCATTGTGATGAGAGCGCCCCCGCCCCCCCCAGGCGCGCACAGCTGCGGTGCGGGAGCCGGAGCAGGCGCTAAGCAGCAGAAGGAGGGAGGCGGGAGCGGGGAGGCGGCGTGCTGCGCGTCTGAGCCTGGCTGTGTTTGCGCGCCTGCGTGCGTGCGTGCATGCGTGTGTTTACTGCGAGCAGGCATGCAGCCCTATGGAAGCTGGGCCGGGAGCAGAGACGCCTCGGCCTCGGACACCGCGCCCACAGCCCCAGGGGCTGAGAGGCCCTGGGAGGGGGTGACCGCAGGGTGGGGGCCAGACGGCGCGCCGGAGGCTGATGGCACCCCTCTCTGCACACCCCCTCGGCCCCCCCACCAGGCGCTGGGGAACAAGCAGCTGGCCTTCCAGCAGCAGCTCCTGCAAATGCAACAGCTGCAGCAGCAGCACCTGCTCAACCTGCAGAGACAGGGGCTGGTCAGCCTGCAGCCCAGCCAAGCCTCGGGGCCCCTCCAGACCCTCCCACAAGGTGAGTGGCCCGCCCCCCTCCCCCAGCCCTGCCCACGGCCCTCCGTGCACCCAGGGGCTGGCTTCCCCTGCTTCCCCAGGGGGGAGATGGGAAGGCTCCCGTGTCCCTGAGGCCCTGTCCCCCCCCCCCTCCTCTCCCACAGCGGCCGTGTGCCCGACAGACCTGCCGCAGCTGTGGAAGGGCGAGGGCGCCCCCGGGCAGCCCGCCGAGGACAGCGTAAAGCAGGAGGGGCTGGACCTCACTGGCACGGCCACCACCGCTACCTCGTTTGCCGCCCCCCCCAAAGTCTCGCCCCCGCTCTCCCACCACACCCTGCCCAATGGACAGCCCACTGTGCTCACCCCTCGGAGAGACAGGTATTGGGACCTTAGGGGGAGGTGCTACAGACCGGGACACTCCCGGGGGCCCCCCCCCGGAACGGTGTACGTTGTGGGGACAGGGAGGGAGAGGGCGCTCAGGCACCTGGGAGTGTGTCTGGGTTTCTGGGGAATCTGTGTTAAAAACAGACACGCCACCAGCAGGGGAGCTGGGGCAGGGCTGCTGGGGTCTTCAGGGTCCCTTTGTCCCCCTCCCCAGCTCCTCCCATGAGGAGACCCCTGGTTCCCACCCTCTGTATGGACACGGAGAGTGCAAGTGGCCTGGCTGTGAGACCCTGTGTGAAGACCTGGGCCAGTTTATCAAGTAGGTGTTGTCACCCCACTCTCCTTCCCCCCAGCCCTCCCCCTCCAAGGAGCCTTCCGTTTTCCCTGCCCCCCGCCTGCCCCCAGCCTTCAGCCCACAGCTGTCCTGCGTGCTCCCCAAGCTGGACCTAGTTCCCCTGCCCTCATCACATACCTTTCCTTCTCTCCTACCTGCCTGCCCAGCCTGAATTCCCCAGCCTCCCCACCGTGTCCCAGGCTGCACAGCCCAGCAGGGGGCGGGGGGGGGAGAGGAGAGGCCTCCCCCCTCTCCTGCCCTCCCCCAGCTCCAGCCCCCAAGAGTGATGGCCGGGTGACAGGCCTGGCCGGCGGACAGGCCGGGCAGGAGGCAGACAGGCGGCTGGCAGCAGGCGGCCAGCTGCCACCGCCGTGCCAGGCTCTGTCACTGACTGATTAACTCCACTGTCTCCCAGACCCTTGCAGCATCAGGGTCAAACAAATTGTTTTCACGCTTCGTCAGAGGTTTACTTAATTAGTTCATTTGCAATTAGATCTCTCTGTAGCAGGGGTTTTAGCAAAGACATCAAAGGAGGGTGATGAGAAGGCGGCTTCCTCCTCTGCCCCGTTCCCCCCCACCCCCCCACCCCTCTCCCTTCTTTGTATCTCCGGGCCTGTCTGCTTTCCAGGCTGTGCTGTGGGCGGGCTCAGAGGATGGGATGGGAGGGTGGTGACAGCAGGAAGCCCAGGGCCAACTCTCTCTCCCCCGCGCCCCTCCTCCTCCTCCCGAAGACACCTCAACACGGAGCACGCCCTGGACGACCGGAGCACGGCCCAGTGCCGGGTGCAGATGCAGGTGGTGCAGCAGCTGGAGATCCAGGTGTGGCCCCCGTCCCGTCTCCCCCCCACCCCTCCACACACACACACACACACACACACACACACACACACAGCACTGGCTTTCCAGGAGGGGGGTGGGGAGGCTTCTGAAGGATCACGTGGTCAGAGTTAGCATCTTTTGTTTCCTAGGTCCTAGTTACCATGGTTCTGAGGTGAGGGCCGCTGGACTCTGAGGGGGAAGGCAGGGTCAGGCGGGGACCTGGCCGCCGGGAGGTCCAGAAAAGAGGCTTTTTGCTGGTACAAAGGGAAAGCACGTTCCTGGCCAGCACACGGAGCACTTGCGTCCTGTGGCCCCAAATGTGTTGCCCATATAACTCAGGGAGTCCCCTAACCAGCCCTGTGTGGGGGTACAGTTGTTAGCCCCACCGGACAGGAAGTGGCCGCAGAGAGGGGGAGCGGCTTCCCCTGGCCACGTAGCCGAGATCGGCACCGCGGCAGCCTGGCTCCCGAGCCTCAGCTCCGTCGTGGGAGAGGCTCCTCCGGCCAGGCCGTCAGGCAGCCGATCAATACTCACTCGCGCCCAGGGCAGAGGGCCCTGCCGGGGGATGCGGTGGCGAAAGATCCATTGAACTTATGAATGGGGTGAATGGATCATTCATCCGCTCCTGGGTCTCCATTCAGCGCACGGGGACCCTCTCACACACACAAGGGCCATGGGACTTGGGTGCTGTTCAGCCAGTGCCTCTGCCCTCCTTGGGGAGGAGAAGCGTGTGCTGTTAGGAAGAGGGCCCCTGCCTGGTGGGGAGCCGGGGCCCGGGACACGCCGTCCGGCGGAGAAGCGAGGGGTTCCCTGTCCTGGCCTCGAGGGTGTGAGGGGCCAGAGAGGCAGGGGCCAGGGGGAGCTGGGGTGCTGAGCGGGGAGGCGAGTGGTGGCCGGAATTGGGGCTTCCTGGAAGTCTGGTGGAACAGGAAGGAGGAAAGGGGCCTGGCTGCTCACCCCCGGCTTCTGCTCCGCCCACAGCTTGCCAAGGAGAGCGAGCGGCTGCAAGCCATGATGGCCCACCTGCACATGCGGCCCTCCGAGCCCAAGCCCTTCAGTCAGCCAGTGAGTGCCCCCCCTTCCCGCACCATCCCGGAGCCCTCCAGCCGTCCCCCCACCCCACCCCCACCCCCCGGCCCACTGGACCCCCGCCCGCCAAGCCGGACTCAGCGCCTGCCCCATTGCTCACAGCTGAACCCAGTGTCCGGCTCCTCCTCATTCTCCAAGGTGACCGTGTCTGCAGCAGACTCGTTCCCAGATGGCCTTGTGCACCCCCCCACCTCAGCTGCTGCCCCCGTCACCCCCCTGCGGCCTCCGGGCCTGGGCTCTGCCTCCCTGCACAGCGGGGGCCCCGCCCGCCGGAGGAGCAGCGACAAGTTCTGCTCCCCCATCTCCTCAGGTAAGGGCTGTGGGAGTAGCATTCCCCTCCAAGCTGAGCCCCCCCCCCCAAAATGGCTGCCTCATCCTCTGCCTGTCTCCCCCAGAGCTGGCCCAGAATCACGAGTTCTACAAGAACGCAGACGTCCGGCCCCCCTTCACCTACGCCTCCCTCATCCGCCAGGTGAGCAGGGAAGGCGGTCAGGGGGTGTGGGGCATGGCACGCAGGCAGCACCCAGGCCTGGGGTCCCAGCCCCCAGGAGGATCCGGGGCCAGGGGCATGACTCTCCCTCAGGGCTATCCCCTCCCGCTCCCCCACATTTCCCTTCTCAGCTGCAGGTCTCACATAGACGCTGGTCACGTGACCATCTCTCTGGGAGCACACTTTTTTTTTGCTGCTGATGCTCACTGTGTTCATCCTCTCATTTCCATGTACACACACTCCATGTGACTGTGTGCTAATAGACTGTGGTCACTCTTAGTCGGCTTCCTGTCTCCTCCCTCCCTCTCTCTCTCTCTCTCTGTCTCACACACACACACACACACACACACACACCACACACACTCACCATCTCAGAGAATGCCCTTTGCCCAAATTCGGATAAATTCCAAATAGCCCCCGCCCCTAGATGTCTCTCCCGAGAACGCTGCTCTCGTTCCCCTCCAGCAGGGGCCTAGCAGCCATTTCCCTGCAGAGAAGCCGCGTGCCCCTCGCCCCAGGGCCTAGCTCTTGAGGCCTGTGCCCCTCTGTGGCTGGGCTGGAACCAGCCGGCCCTGCTCAGGCCCCAGGAGACTCACCCTCTCACCCACGGGCTCTGCAGTGGGTCTCCCCTCTCGGTGAGTCAGCGGCCAGGCAGAGAGAGAGAGAGAACACAAGCCGGGGACCCTTAGAGACCCAGGCTGAGGGTCTCTTTGCTCCTTCCTCGCCACAGGCCATTCTGGAGACCCCCGACAGGCAGCTGACCCTGAATGAGATCTATAACTGGTTCACCAGGATGTTCGCCTATTTCCGAAGAAACACTGCCACCTGGAAGGTGAGGCGTGCCCCCTCCCCTGGCCCGGGGGCCCCTGTCACTCTTGACCTCACACCCCTTTGGGACTAAGGCTGCCTGACAGTCCGTCCCCTCGGAGAGGGGCTCCGAGGGGCCATGTGCCCCTCCACCCGCCTCTTCAGAGCCAAGGATGCTCTTTCACCGCCTCCTCATGGCGCCTCCCTTCAGCCGTGTGCTGCCTTCCTTCTGGGGAGAAGCCCTCCTCCTCAGAGTGCTTCCCCGTGGGCCCAAGCTGTGGGGCCCCCAGGAGTCCTCGGTGCCTGAGCCTCCGGGGGAGGCCTGGGTTCCATTCACAGGAGGCCCCAAGGGTCCGATACCTTGGCTAAAGGCACATGCTCTGAAGCTCAGGATGGAGTGGGGGTGGGAGGGGTGCCAGCCTGGCCCGGACACGTGGGCGGAGTGAGACCCGCGGACTGTATACACTGGGGCACCAACACAGGCAGTCGCACACTCTCCCCAGCTCTGCCGTCGGCTGCGGGGAGATGATCGTCTCCATCCAATTAGTCATTTCAACACCTTCACCTCATAAAGAGTTTTCCTGAGGGACCCAAGGCAGGCAAGGGAGGGACCCTAGGAAAATAGGACACTGGGATGTGTGCTGAGCTGCTATTTGTTTCTCTGTAGCCAAGGTGGTCTGTGTGCCCGGGAGCGCGTGTGTGTGTGTGTGTGTGTGTCTGTGTGTGTGTCTGTGTGTCTGATGGGTGAGAAGATTCGGGTCTTGGCAGCAGAGAGGTGGGAGAGGGGGGAGGTGCGGGGAAGGAAAGGGGAGTGTTGGGTCCTATGGGGAAGTGGAGACACCTGAGGAGTCCCTAACCTTACTTGGATCCCTGGCTCTTGGGTCCCCCTGCTGGCCAGTGCAGAAACTGCAGTTAAACAGGTTACCTCCCCCCCCCCCATCCCACCGGGTTTCAACAAGTGTCACTGAGCCCCCTCCCTCCCAGCGCCCAGGACCGGGTGGGGTCAGGACTGGGTGTGGTCTGCACCGGGCCCAGCCTTCTCTGCCCTGGGAGTGTGCTAAGTGCAACAGGAGATACTGATCTTCCGTATCCCATGTCCAGTTCCCAAAGCCTGGGTGAGACACTATGAAGCTGTGATTGGCTACGAGTGATGTCATTTCCTGCCAACCACAGTCCTGCCCTCTCCCAGCCAGCAGGGCCTTCGTGGGGCCCTCCCAGGGCAGTCTCCAACCTCCAGGCCAGTTGGATATTGGGTTTGGTCCGTGATAGGGTCCTATTCCATTCATTACAGTTATCAGTAATGCTTACTTTGATATTGCGTATTGACCTTATGCCTTTGGGGTGACACAGTGCAGGGCCTCACTTCCATGACACAGTCTCTTCCTTGGGGACAGAGTGCCACTCCCCCCCGCTCCTCCTTTCCTGTTCCCTCTTAACTGTACCTCCTCACTGCGGTTTTTACTCTCCTTTCTCTTGAGCTCGGGAGGAGCTGGTTCAGGTGACTTCCTTAAACCACTGGATGATTGTCGTGCAGTGCCCCAACTCCCTTGGCCTCTCATGCCACCTTCCACCCGTTACCCGGCCTCGGCCATCCCAGTGGCGTGTGTCTCTCCAGAGTCTTATCTCCTTCGCCCCTCCCCCAGCCCAGGTTCCAGCAGAGAGCTGAACGGGTGGGTCACCCTCCCAGCTAGTCAGGCTCTGCGGCTGCTCCTGCCGCCTGGGGCACTGCCGGTGCCCGCCTCGTGGCACAGAGGACTTCATCTTGGCGTGAGGTCCACTCTGACCTTCCGCTTCATTCGTGTTCCCTGGGAAACGCACCCTGTCTACACCCAGCTCTTTCCCTCCCACCTCCACCGTCCGCCCGTTTCTCTCCCCTGGAGGTTCCCCCCTCTTCTCGACTCTGTCAGCCTCCCTTCCTCCTTCCTCCCACCCCCTCTGGCCCCCTCCTGAGACGCTGTCCACTTCAGACCAGGGCAGAAGGGTCGGGAGCCGGCGTCGGCCAGGCCAGCTGCCGTCCATCGGGGACAGAGCAGCCATCTGCCAAGCTGACGGTCCTCCTGGCCCTCCCCCTGTGTCCGTCCCCTGCCGGGGCCCGTGTTGTGGACTCGTCCCTTTGTTTACGCGGCCCCCGCCAGACCCCTCAAATTGCCGTTAATGTTTCAGCGTAACGAATTAGTCTCTCATCACGAATCAGGCTTCGAAATGAGGGAAAAAAGCCCCGGTGAGGCCATCTTCGGAAATTGGGGTCATTCTCATTTGCAAAGCGGAGGATCGGAGCCCCGTAATGCGGGCAAATTTATTCCGAGGCAGGAGCCCCGGCGTGATTAGGCCCTTTGTAATTATCGCTCCGAGAGATTCCACTCCAGCCGCCCGCCTCCCTCGTGGATTAGCAAGCGAGTCGGAAAAATACACAGGATTTAATTAGAGGCAAATTAAAATTGGTAATGAAATCGGGCCAGTTGCAAGTGGCAAGAGTTGGAAGGGAGAGAGGGAGAGGGGCTCTCCAGGGGCACGGGCTGCCCGTCCTGCCCGCACTCTTCCCCGTTTAGAAATGTAAAGAGGAGACAAGACAGGGACAGGGGGAGGACAGGTAACGGGCTGGGACGGCTGGGGGAGGGGGCGGGGTGTGGAGCTGAGACAGAGTGCAGGGACTGGACGGAGGGATGTGGGTCGGGGAGGGGGTGGATGAGGGCCCTAGCCCAGGCTCCCACAGTGTGGCGGGGGGAGGGGTGGGAGACAAGGAATTGGGCCAAGCATCCCCACCTTCACCCAAATGCCCTACAAACCAGATGACCTCAATTCCAGGAGTTATTCCTGCAGGAGGAGGTGGGAGTGACAAGGTGACTTTTCCTCTCTTCTCTCCTCCTGCCTCCCGGCAGCTAAGCCCACACTCGCCTTCCTCCCTGTTTGTGTCGGCGCGCATGTATTAGGCCTCTGCTGTATGCCTCATGCCTGGCTCCCACCCGCCCAGAGGCGGGGAGCGGCTGCAGCGACAGCTCCCGAGTTATTCCCAGAACTTATAAAAGCCAAATGGGAATTCTGAGGTGAGGTGTCCGGGCTCACTGAGCAGCCAAGGCCAGAGCACACCCTCTGGACGGTCAGAGCCCCCAGTACCAACCCCATACACGCCTGACTCGGGACGATGGAAGAACAAGGTGTTACTGACTGCCTCGCCTGCAGTTGGTAGAGTTTTCCAGGACTTGGCGGGAAGAAGGGAGGCAGATACTGGAAGGGGCTATGGGCGGGGAAGACACTGGGAGCCCCTGTGGCCAGGTCTCCTCTCACGACCCCGCCCCTGCTGGTCCCCGGGCGAGGGCAGAGGCAGGCCCGGCACGCCGCCTGAGCACCTGCCCCTGTCGCTGCCCCCCCAGAACGCCGTGCGGCACAACCTCAGCCTGCACAAGTGCTTCGTGCGCGTGGAGAACGTCAAGGGCGCCGTGTGGACCGTGGACGAGCGGGAGTACCAGAAGCGGAGGCCGCCGAAGATGACGGGGTACGTGGGCCGGGCCCGTGCAGGGCGACCCGCCCCGGGGGTGAGCGTGGGGCGCCTGGCTGAGCACAGGCCGAGTGAGAAAAGGGGTGCAGGATCTCGGGGGAGACCGGAACCTGGAGATGACTGATGAGTAGAAAGAGGGCGTGTATGTCTTACTCTACCCTCCCGCTGGCTGGGAGAGGGACCAGACGGGCATCTGGCACTAGCAGGAGGCAGAGACCCCCAGGAGGCATGGCCAGAGCTGGGAATGGGCAGGTGCCAGTCAGTGTGGCCGTTGGTGTGCCGGCTGCCATCCCCAGATCCCCCCTCCCCCCATCTTGTGACAGGAGGAGCCAACAGAGGTGCCCCGGCCCCACCTCTTCACTTAACAGGAAAGGGGGCCCAGAGAGGGCAAGGGGCTGGGGCAGGTCACACAGCAGATCCGTGGCAGAGCCGCGTCTGTGGCCGCCCCTCTCTGATCTTCTTCATCGCACAGCGTTTTCAGTGAAACAAGGAGGAGGGAGCTGGGGATCCAAACGCCTCCACACCCAGATACCCCCCCAGCGGCCACCTTCTGCCTGTGCCTCGACCCCAAGACCAGGGTGGGAGGGGGAGAAGTTGGAGGCGAGTTAGATGGGTCTCTGCCTGGGTCCTATTTCCCTCAAAGAATCCTCCTCCCGGGACCAGCGCCTCTCCTCCCCAGGCAGCAGGGGGCTGGGGCAGGGTCGGCACCTGGCACGGGGAAGGGAGGCCAGACCCTCCGCAGTGCCCCACGTGCCAGCCACCTTGGCATCTTCACGTCTCGGTACCCACTCGGAGCCAGGAGATCAGGGTTCGAATGACCTCTCCCTGCTGTGTGACCCTGGGCCACATCCCCAACCTCTCTGTGCATGGGGCGGTCGCTGTGGAAGAGCCCAGCGCGGAGGCCTGCTTTCCCTCAGCAGCGCCCGGGCACCGTGCGGGGCGGAGGCCCTCGGTGTGTAGCAGGAGGTGCTGGCTGAGCATGTGCCGCGGGAGACGTGCCGTAGGGTGGCCGGAGCGGGTGGGATTCACAGATACAGGCCTGTGGAGGCTACCGCTTGAGCCTCGCTGGACACGGGGGCATCTAGACCAGAGAGAAAAGGGGCCGGGGCGCCCGGTGTGCGGACGGGCACTGGGTTCCGGAGCCTGTGAAGCCCAGCCCCCCCGGAGGGCTCCGCAGACGACGCTGCAGGATAGTGAACAGGAAGTGGACAGGCCTCGGTCAGGGTGAGTGCGAGGGCGCCTGAAGGAGCCCATCGCTGCGTCTCCCCGCAGGAGCCCCACGCTGGTGAAGAACATGATCTCGGGCCTCAGCTACGGAGCACTTAACGCCAGCTACCAGGTGAGCCCGCTGCCAGGGGACCCGCCCTTCCCAGAGCCCGCCTGCTGCTCCCCGTCCCTCCTGCCCCCCGGTGTCCCTCCCACACCCCGGCCTGGCGGGGACCTCCCTCCACCTCCCTGCAGGGGCTCTGGAGGAGCAGGGGAGGAGGAAGAGAAGGGGGAAGACTATCTGGGGGGCCAAAACCCAGACCCTCTGCCCACCCCCCTCAGCTGCATGGCGCGGGCTCTGCTTTTAGGACCGGGCCTGGGAGAGCAGGGCGGGCGGGGGCGTGGCCGGGGTCTCCCTCCTCGGCTTGTCCATCAGGAGGTCCTCTGTCTCCCTGAAAGGGGCCAGGCCAGGGCCAGGCCCAGGCCACGGGAAAGCCGGGAGGGAGGAGGGCAGGGCCAGGGCTCAGAGGTGGAGATGGGGGGAGGGGGGACGGGCTGCCAGGGCAGGTCTGCCTGCGGGGCCAGCTCTGACCGGAGGCTGAGGAGGCTCTAGGTGAGGAAGTGACAAACCCTGCCTCCCTGCACCTGCAGGCCGCCCTGGCCGAGAGCAGCTTCCCCCTCCTCAGCAGCCCCGGCATGCTGAACCCCGGCTCCGCCAGCAGCCTCCTGCCCCTCAGCCATGAGGACGTGGGCGCCCCTGGGGAGCCGCTCCCCAGCAACGGCATCAGCACCCCGCCTCGCCTGTCCCCGCCCCAGTACAGGTGAGCGCACAGCCTGGACCCCACCCCGGTGGGCTCAGGTATTACCCCCCTTCCCAACTGGGCCTCTCCTTTCCCTCCTCTCTCCTCCTGCCCTTCCCCCCTTCCCCTGCACCCTCTCTCCCCTTTCCCTCTCCCCCTTACTCTCTTCCCCCCCCTTTCCTTTGACATCCACCCCCAGGGGCTCAGGGCTGGGGGAGAGCCGTGGGCAGCCCGCTGGGCCCTGAGATTCTGGGTGAGGTTTCAGCAGGGGGGAGGCCGCCCCGTGCCCACACGGCCCCTCTGCCACAGCCACCAGGTGCAGGTGAAAGAGGAGCCAGCTGAGGCTGAGGAGGACAGAAGGCCCGGACCCCCGCTGGGCCCCCCCAACCCCAGCGCCGCGGGGCCTGCTGAAGACAGGGACCTGGAGGAGGAGCTGCCTGGAGAGGAACTCTCCTAAGGGCCTCGAGGGGCAGGCAGGACGGGGTGAGACCCCTCCTGGAACCCGGGCCCCTCTTACCCCCACTCCACAGCCCCCCCAAACCTCAAGGCACTTCCAGGACCCAGATGGGGGCTGGACCAGCAACTCCCCATGTGGCCTGACTGACAGACGCAAAGGGCAGGGACGTCCCGCCTCCCCGGCCCCCTAAGGAGAAGCAGACGCCCTGGTCTGGGCCACCGAGGACACGGAGGGCCCAGGCCCCTCCTCTCTCCCTCCCCGCCACCAGCAGCCGCCGCCGGGCCCTCCCCCACCAGCTCTCTGGACAGCCCGCAGCCAGGAGACCCGCGGGCGGGTGGGCGGGGCGGCCGCCCCAGGCCCAGGACCCTTCGCACCGGCTCTGGCCGTGTTTTTCTAGCCAGAGGCCTCCACTCCCCCGTCTGTGCCCCCTCCCACCTTCTCCATACTGTGAAGAAAGAGTTCTCCACCCGATGCCCCCCCCCCCCCCCCCCCCCGCCCAGGCCTGGGCGAGGAACTGAAGCTGCCAGCCGCCCCCAGAGGAAGCCAGCCCCGCGGTCACCACCCAGAGCCACAGCCGGGCCGGGCCGCACAGTGGGAGCAGGGCCCCTGGCCGAGCCCCACCTCCCGACCTGAGCGGGGACCCCGGCTGCCGGGGCCTCTGCCCGTTTACTGGCCACCTGCCCGTCTGCCCGCCGTCCAGGGAGCACAGGAAGAGGCCCCGTGCCCTGCGCCGCCTCCAGAGAGTCCGTGCCAGGCGGCCTTTTGGACTCGGGGCCCAGGACGGGAGCCCGGCGGCAGAGGTGGTGCCAACCGCCCGCCCGCCTGTCCCGGGACTGACTGGTGGGGTTAGTTTGGCAGCTGCTGTGACCCAGCAGGTCACCCCGCCCCAGTTCCAGGGCACCATTGCAACCCCTCCTCCCCCCCTCCCTACCCCTCCTCTCCCCTCCCCCGCCCCCACCCCCAGTTAAACGGATGACCAAAGACCTTTCTTATGCCAGAAGCAAAAACCAAAACTTTTTGTTGGCTTTTTCCTTTGTCGCCTCCTCCTCCTCCCCCTGCTCCTCCTCTGCGCCCACCGGCCCCAGGCTGGAAGCCTCCCTCCACTTAAGTTATTGTTTTAAACCAAAGTTTACAGTGTCTGTTGGTGGCCAGGACCCTCTCCCTCCACCCCTGCCCCACCCCCCTGAGGACCCTGGGGCTCGGAGGGGGCTGGGGCCCTGCCCCCCTCCCCTCTGCTCGTGCCCAGCCTGGGGGAAGGGAAGGGCAGGGCGGGAGGGGGGCCGCCCTCAGCCCCGCACCCCCTCCCCCCTCGGGCAGCGGGCACAGAGCCCTCGCCCGCCCCTGGACTGCTTCCCGGGGCTCCAGACCCCCCTTTAGGACCAAGTCCCCGTCGCGCTGGGAGTGGCTTCCAGCCGAGGAGGTGGAGAGGGCGGCACTCTCCACAGCCCCCTATGGGGGCCCCGACCGAGGCCCAGGCCTGGGCGTGCTGGACGCTCAGCACCCAGGCCGGGCCCCTTTGCTGAGAAGACTCCTTGGACTCTTTCCCGAGAAACCCCCACGTACGCCCCCTCACAAGCACCCCTCCCAGAGGCAGGGGCCCGCCGCCCCCGCCCCGTGTACTCCCCACCTGTGTTTCGTTTGACCAGCACAGAAATATTAAACGTCCTCTATACACCCGGCCCTCGTGTGTCGCCAGGCGAGGGGGGTGTGGCGGTGGGAAGCATCTCAGCTCTGGGGAGCAGAGGGCACCAGCCGGGCAGCAGGGGCCCAGAGGGGGCTTGGGCCCGGGCACCAGCCAGCCACCATACCGCAGGGCCTTCCTTCCCCACCCCTCCTGCCCCCTCCTCCATGCACCGTCGGGCAGTGCCTAGTGTTTCCTTTTGAGCCAGATGCTCCCCTTCCTTCTCTCCCAAAGCCATACTCCCCCAGCGGCTTCCTGGGTGTGAAACCCCAGTTCCTGCCAGGAGTTCTCAGCAGGGAGTCCCGTTGCAGCACCCTCCCCTGGGCACCGCCCTTAGAGCCATCCGCCCGTGCCTTGGGCCCCTCAGCCATGTCTTCCGGAGGCTGCCTGCATTGTGTGGGGGGCACTGAGCTGCAGGTGGGGCTGTTGAGTGCATGCATGCCAGTGTGTGCAGAGTCCATGCTGGTGTGTGCAGAGTCCGTGCCGGTGTGTGCACAGTCGATGCTGGTGTGTGCAGAGTCCATGCTGGTGGGCACGGGGTCGGAAAAGGGGACCCTGACCTCGGAAAGGGGACCCTGGGCAGCTGGGGGAGAGAAGGAAAAGAGACATCGGTCCAAGCTGCTGAAACCAAAGGTGAGCACTGACACCCCAAGGTAGGGGCCCCCCACACCTCTCTCCTTCATCAGGGCCCAGGAAGGAGTGTACAGCGGACCCTGGGAAATGTGGGGGTTCGTGGCGCCGACCCCCACAGCGTTGGAAATCCATGTGTAACTTGACCCCCAAACCTCAGTCATCGCCAGGTGCCCACAGGACCATCATGTGTGTTAAAGTCCATGGATGCTCGTGTCCCGTGTATAAGGTGACATAGAACAGCACACGGTGCCGAGTCTGCACCCCCATTTGGCTGAGTCCACATGAGAATGGGGCGGCCTCCTGGGTGTTGAAACACGAATGAGTCGAGTTCAAACCTGTTCCTCCAGAGTCCGCTGTGCTGGGGGGGTGGGGGGGCGGGGGTTGAGAGGTAGGTGGGGGAGGGAAGGACAGGAAGGGCGTTGAGAAAGCAGAACTGCAATCACTTGCCCTTCCCACAAATCACCAAATGGCTGGAACTTTCCAGAAGTCAAACTTGGGGAGCAGTGGGGCAGGAAAGGGGAGGCAGGGCCTGGCCTGTGAGTCTCTGACCTCTGACCTCTGTCCCAGGCCTGTTTTGTCCTTCCCACCAGCTTCCTCGGCCTCCAGTCCCTCTGATTCCCCTACTCTCTGTCTCATCCCCTCCACTCTGCCTCCACCCAGCCCTGGCCCTCTGGACACCGGCCAGAGCTGGGGTGAACTTCCTGGCCCCCCTGGAGAGGACAGCTCCGACAAAAAGGAGCTTAGTCCCGGGCCCCGCTTCCCCACCCGCTGCAGCCAGCCCCCCCCCCCCCCCCCCCCCCCCCGAACGCTAAGGCAGCACGCTGTGCAGTGCTCGGCTACACACCACTGGCTGCATGCCGTCCGGACAGTTCGTCCTCCATGTAATGCAGCAGTTACCCCGATGTCACTGCGACCGCTGCTCCCCACCGCACCCACCAGCCCCCGGGCGAGCCCCAGAGCATCCAGGCTCCCTGCTCCCTTCCTCCGCCCCGAGGGCAGAGGTCGCTCCGCAGGCTGGCCACCGAGACGAAGGGATGAGGCTCCCCTCAGCCGCACGTGGGACAGTTCTCCCAGCAGTCTAACTGCAGTTCCTCCTGCTTCACCTTGCGTTTTCGTTTTGACTTTTTTTTTTATTCCTCCCAGTGCATTTGGACATGGGCGAAGGTCTGTGCTGGGCTTTGGTGGAAGAGAGGGTCTTGCAGGATAAAAATCAGGAGCTTGTTGTGGACCACGTTCTGAGCGTGGGGACCTGCAGACAATGGTCTTACTGATCTGGCAGATTCTGGGAGGGGCCCGGCCCCCATACTACCTTCCAAATAAGAACTTCCCGCTCTCCGCTCAGGCTTTGCTGTCCGAAAGTCCTGCGTGCTGACTAGCCTCCCTCCTTCCCGCTGTTACCCGCAGCTAATGGGATAGTCCGCTCAGGCAGACACACAGGCACGCACAGGCTGTGGCTGGCAGCTTGTCCTGCCCTTAACATTTCTGCCCTGAGGGGGAGAGGGGAGCTATCTTAGGGACAAACTGTCCTCAGATGGGTGGGGAAAGAAGGGGCGGGGGGAGTACTCCAAGCAGACATTCTGAGGGTGAGAAGGTAGCACACTGGGCTCTGTATTGGGCAGAGCCCCCTTTCCCTCACTTTCAGAAAGCTCTTCCCTCCCAACTGGGGCCCACCCCCGCCCAAGGCGTTCTGCCAACGGCCAGCAGAGGGCGCTCTAGACAAAGCCGACCTACGTAGTGCTGCTCCTTGGGATGAACTTGCCCAAGGGGAGGATAGGGGTAGGAGTGGGGGAGGATGGGGGTAGGGATGGAGGAGGGGCTCAACTTCCCTGGAGAACAGCAGTCCTTTGACCTCACGTCCCAGAAAGCAGCCTCTGTCCCAGGGCAGAAATGGCTCCTGGCTCGGGGCTTCCCAGAACTCTCACCTTGTGACCTGAGAAGCATCCGACACAGAAAGAGGGGACAGGGGAGAGGAGGGCGGAGTCCCCTAAGGATCTGCAACGGTAGTAATTATACTTAACGAGCGTGCATGATGGACCAGACACTAGTCTAGAAGCGTTATAGTTCGCCTGATGCTCACAACGCTGCGTTAGACCCTGTTATTATCCCCATTTTACAGAGGAGGAAGCAGGCTGGCATCAAAGTGCTCACACGGGGAGCCTTCAGGTTGAGAAGCTATGGGTGTCCGTCCGGTGGGAAGGGAGAGGGAGGCCCGGTGGCTTAGCCTCAGCGTCCTAGGGATTCCGCTGTGGCCTCCCCCCATCTTTTCTGGAGACTCCCCATGGGGAAACGGACACAGAGCGGCTCGGAGCCAGGAGTCGGGCCCTGGCTCCAGGTCCCCGGCTGCCTTCTTGTCCAGGCAGATGGAGGTAAGTTAGGGCTTAGGATAGTCACTGGGGGACAGGGAACTGGAGAGAAAAGTCTGAGACACCCTATAAAAATAATCAAACAGGGCCTTCTGATGGAGGAGGGAGGCAGGGCAGGCAGGGAAGACAAAGAGGCTCTTGTGTGAGGGGGGACTCACAGCGACTGCACACACACACACACACACACACTCACACACATGCACCTGAGCACCGGCAGGCACACGGGCACACACAGGCTGCTCCTCAGATATGTTTACGCCGAGAGGTCCCCCACGGGCAGGGGCCCACACCACATGGAGCCACAGGGCCCCCTATCACACAGG